CCGGTGTCCCTATGATCCCGCAAACAATATTGCGATGGCAGCCGGAGGACGAAGAGGAGGGGCGCTGGGGAGGGGGCTCCCTGGTCTCCTTTTCCCATGTCGTGAACCACTTGTCTCTGCATTTGAGCCGAAGCCTGCTGGATCCGGCGCGGCTCGCCGTGGCTCTCAATCGGTCTCTTCTCCCTTCCTCCGCAGGCAGCAGGGGAGGTGAAAGTGCTCGACAGCTACAGTCTTCCCCGGGGATTGGGGCCGGGGGGTGCTCGCGGACAGGCGTTGGGACCGGCCCGCCGTCCCCAATTGCTTTGCCGCCGCTCAAGTCCAGCAGTGCCGCCCACACGGTAAGAGGGTGGGGTCCGGTGGGTGGTGGATCGATTTTATTTGCAATGGAAAATGGAGCCGGCCAACCCTAACCCTTCTATTCCCCCCTCCTACCCTCTCCGCTCTCAAAATAATATACCAGCCTCCCATAAGCCCCCCCACATCGATTGCTCCTCCTCTCCAAGGTATTAATAGCAATAAATGTGCTAGGTACAGTCAGGCTGCCAGCCAGCCTGTCTGAGTGGGATCTGTGAATGAGCCAGCAAAGGACACCGACTGAGCATGGAGGAACCTTATTAATTATACAGGGCATGTCTCAACACCTCTTGGTCCTGTTACCAGTCTGGTTTCAACAGGTATCCTACTGGAAGGTGGGAGGGGAAGGGGAGGCAACTTGGGGAGTCACTTGGGGAGCCTGTAAGTGTTAGATCTGACAGAGGCTGGTGGGAGACTTTGGGTGGAGGCAGAAGAGCAAGACAGCCAAGTTACCTGTGCTGTGAGTGGTTTCAGAAAGACTGTTTTGCAGGTAGCCACTTTCCCAGGTTTGCGCAACAAATCCTCCAGGGGAAGCAGTTTACTAGAAACTGCTGCTCAAGTTGTCCTGTGACACATAGAGTCTGGCGGCATGAGCAAATGTTTGCACTTACCTGCAAGGCTGGTTTAATGTGCTTTATGGATGTAGATAGGGGAAAATGATAAAGAAGCAACCTGGAATGCTGACATACAGGTGACAGGCTCATGTTGGGAAGGCACTTTGAAATAATGAAGGCCCTTTACACTTCACTGAAGACCAGGCAGAGTGGTTCATTGAGCGTTACTGAGAAACAAATTGTTTTGAAAATGAAAGTAGTCACTTTGAGATTAAAGGGTGGGCATTCTCTGAATGAGAAATTGGGACTGCCCTCTTAGTTGTCAGATCAGCTCGGACTGATGGCCCATTTCCAGTGAAATAATGATATCTATATTCAGATACAGTACGTGGGCAAGAGACTGTAAACACAGTTTAGCCAAGGAAACAGGTGTTACCTGGTGGCATTGTTTTCATGGCTGTGGTTTCTCACATTAACTTTCTGTTCTAACTAATCTGCTAGGAATGGAACTTCCCAAGAATAATGCTCTATTTCTGGAGGGTGGGGAATGATAGCCCTGAATGGATGGCCAGGTGGATAGAAATGGCATAATAACATTTTTACCCATTTGCATGGGTTTTGTTTGAGCATCAAACAGCAGTGTATATACACATAAAAGTACAGCTTTTTAATATTTCTTTGAAATAGCAATGTTTTTTATTGTTCTTTTAAAAAAATTGTTGACAATACTGCTAGTAACTGAACTGAAAATGATTATGGGTGGTGCTTAATTTATAAAAGGGTTGGGTAGGGGAATTCAAGGGCTCATCTGCAAGTGACAGATTCCATAACCTGGAGGAATCGTGGCTTGAATACTGTGAAAGGAAGATTTTTGTCTGCAACTGGACATATTGCTTCAGTTTGCCATGTACTATTTGTGTTTGTGTTATAAGCTGTAGGAATCAATACATTTAATGTGCAAAGTGTGGTGATTGTACATTCTGTGGAATATTGTATAGTTCACACCAGAAGTGCTCATGCAAAACTGCATGCATTAGTGTGAACATACTGTACAGCCATATTGTGCATACCCATCCAGTGCAACAGCTGTGTTTTATGTTTGACTGGGGGGGGTGAATATATGTGCTTGGAAGGGGGGGGATGTCTATCCCTGTTACAGTATACATTGGTGTTATCAGAGTAATGTTTGTCTCAACTGTGCCAAGAGAGAGGATGGGTAGGTATTGCAGGAAAAGATATTCCCCAGCCTCCACATACTGTTCTTTTGTCAGTATTTCTTCCACTTTTTTTCTTGATTCTCCCAGATACAAATATCCCTTGTATAAAAATAACATGTAATTAACACATACATGGCATAATATTTTTGTCCTTTCTTTTCTAATTGTATTTATATAATCTTTATTCTGTTAATAGTTCCACCCCCTTTATGTGATGGATGTTTAATTATTCTCTGGAAATTACACTTATATGGGAGTTTGCAGCTAGAGATGGGAGATTTCTCAGATTCCTTAAATGATCTCATGTGTGGAAGTGCTGTGTACCATTAAAAAAAAAAGCTTTGGCTTGTGCTTTGTATTTATGGCAACCTGTGTTGCTAAGCAGATGGAGTGGAGATTTCTTAGACCGTGTGGCTTAATTCCACTCCCTACCATCTCTCTTACACTGAAACGGCAACTCTTTTATTGATACAGGTATCCCACTGTATTTGAAGCTGTCTCACTGACTTGTTTCCTCAGATACTTTCTAAATTCTTCCCCTTTGGCATTCTCCCTAAAGCCAGCCATTGCTTTCCAGATTTCAGTGACACAGCAGGTGCTTGGTGACTGGGGTTCATAACTGTTTAAAACATAAACTTAGTAGGTTAGTAGTCTTTGTCAGCCATAGCCCAGTCTGTTAAATCCCCAAGGGGATTCTGAGAGTAAAGCACTCATTCTAAAGGTTCCTGATAAATGAGGATAATGTTGATTAATAATAGTATTCCACAATTTCTACATCCTTGCCTCTTGCGTAGTATTTTTCTAGGTTTTCTCTTCATTCTCCAAGCTGCTTATTTATTAATTAATTTATGGATTCAATTCTTCGGATTTATTTGTTAATTCAAAAAATATCCACAAATCATGTTTGAAATGAAGATTATTTCCCTGGTCCAGAACATGTGAATTCAATGCCACATCACTCTACTGTCACATTTTTGTCATTTCTTAATACACTTGTGATAGAGGTTTCTTGGTGCTGTTCTTACCCAGTCTTGCAGAATACTATATTCCACTCTAATGTAATTTACTGTGTTTTTTCTCCAGTCCTAAGGGAAGTTGAGTTACTTCTTTAGTACTGCCCCTAACAATTCTGACCACTTTCTGATTCTTCCGGAGATAGTTTACACATTATGGCTGCCGTGTGAACATTGTGTTAAATTGCTCCATATGTGACTGTTGTCATGTGGCTGGCAATAGTATGTAGAAAGCATCTGATCCTCATGGGGATCCCCATGCCCGTATGCCTCTCCTCTACCAGTTCACCTCAGTGTTTTGAAGCCCAGGTAGAAGATCAAAGGCTGTGTTCCACTCAGTCCATCTGAAGGCAGAACAACGGTCAGCTTGCCTTGCCTGTGAGGTGTGATGGTTGGTTGGTTGCTCTCTGGTCTTTAGGCAAGAAAACATTAGGTCTGTCCTTCATTTTTTTTTGGGGGGGGGATATGGGGTTCTATTAAGAGTGTTGTGTTCTTCTGTACCTTTATGGACCTGTGATCTGCCTTTCTTTTTTCTTTTTTGGTAACAGCAATTTTTCTCTGATCCAATGACAGAATTGAGAATAACAGTATTACTTGTATCCTGATCTGTATTAGTTGTTCAGAAGTGGAGTTTCTTGGATAACATATTTATTTGTGCACCAGTTATTTCCCCATGGAGGCTTATGCCACAACAACAATGCACCTGTGTGCAGGTTTACTTAGCAGTAAGTCCCACTGTATTCAGTGGGGCATACTCTCAGTTTAGTGTGCACAGGGTTGCATTGTAAGTCTGGTAGCCACAACAGTCATCCAAAGAAAGCTCTAGGAATACCTTAAACACGTAACAACATTTTATTCCATCATAATCTTTCATGGAGTAGAGTCTGCTGCCAGAACCTAAGGAAGATTCAGTGTTTTCTGTTCTCTCCTAAATTTCATGATACTTATTGCCATAATAGTTAGGACTTCCACTTTACATTGTTTGCAGGAAGAGCATGTGCTTTTGTCAGAATTTCTTTCTTGCTAAGAGCTTCTGAATTGACTTTTCAGTACACTGTATTCTTCATGCTGTTTCTTCTGTAGAACTGGTTTCTATCTGTATGAACAGCATGAATTTGTAGGGTTACACATAACTGGAACATCATAGGATGAAGACATTTGATGTTCTACATAGTCCATGCTGAATTTTATTACTACATTTTGAGGAATGTTTCCTTAAGATTAGTTTAGGCTTTTATTCCGATATTAAAGTATTAGTAGTAGGTGTAGGCATGGCAGTCTTGCACAGGGGCCATTATATCAGTGAGAGAATGGGAAGGGGTGCAGTGATACAACAGTATTGGTAAGAAAGATAAGTTACTTATGAGTGTACTTCTTTGCCCAAGTCAGACTGGGGGCTCTGGGTGATAAAAGGCACCTTCATTCCTAAGGGCAAGCTAGACCCAGAAACTGATGTTCCAAGAGCATGTGGTCTGAGTTCCAAAAAATTGTTAGCAGCAGAAATGTAATGAGCTGTTTTTGTGCCACAGGCAATCCTCAATAGCACACCCAAAAACATGTTTTTATTTTTTGTGGCAAAGCAATATGTGCTCGTTTCATACAAGCAGTGTGTCCTCGTTTCATCTTATACTAGTTGCATTCTTTATGATAGCCAATCCTGCTCTCTTGGTTCCATTACTGGGTAGGAGTGCATTAGGAGTGGGGTGCGTATAAAAAATATATAAATGCAGTACAATCAAGAGCATCTTACAGATAATTTGGATTTGGACACATTTCCATGTTTCTGATACTCTCAAAGAGGTCATGTTCTCCTTGTCCCCAAAATTTATTCATTATAGCAGACTAGATCAATTTTGCTTCAGCAGGTTTGTTGCATCATCTGCCTTCCAACTGTGTTGATACATATAATTTGGAAGATTTCATAGTCATTATCAGATGCTACTTTCATATGATGAACCAGCTCCGATGATGATAGCAGCAGTCGCATTATCACTTGATATCTGCAGTTACTTGATGAAAACAAGGCCCATTTCCATACCTAGCATCACTTATTGTGAACAGGGTTGTGGAAGGGTGTAGTATGTTAGTCACTCAATCTAGTGTGCAGCATAATTTCAGAGTTATTTCAGTGAACCATCAGAGAATGTTCTGTGTTCTTCATGTCTGAGTGCTTGCAGCCATTTTCTCTAGATATGTGACA